GGAAGGAAGGTTGGGCAATCCTACTTCCGTAGTGATACTGCCTCGGAAACCCAAGGAGGGGTCGCTATGAATCAGGGCTGACTTGACGGCACATAACAACAACTACAACAACATTACTACTTCACTTGGTAATGGCTAAGAAGTTCTCATAATTTTGTCCCCTGATGCTTTACTTTATTCATAGATTCATAGATATATTTGCAGCAAATGTAAATATATATATAGAAATATTCTTTGTCAAATCTATATATATTTTCACAGGGAGATAGCTCAGAGGGCAGGAATGCATAGGAAAGAGGGACAAAGGGTAAAGGTAACTACAGGAAGGAAGTGAGAACAGAGCTGTTACATTCTGGGGATTGCAATCAATATTACCAAAAAAATATGTATGAACTGTTATCTGGAAAACGAATTCACTCTGTAAACTTTCACCCAAATCACAATTTAAAATATATATATATATATATATATATTTTTTTTTTAGGTGTCATCCCATTCACTTTTGCACCCCTCTTCAGCTTGTGGGTCTATCCATGTATTCACTCCTACATTACTGTTATTACTGTTATTGGATGATTGGGTATGCAATATTACATACCTTTGTTGTTTTTAATTCTTGTGCTCCTCCCACTGTCTTCTTTTGATAGTTTTGTGCTGACCTTCCCCTTACTGTATATTGCCTTTCCCTTCATCCAAGTTAATACATGTCTACCGGTAGCTAGTGCCTAAGGCACTTGACTGCTAACCAGAAGGCTGGCAGTTCAAACCCACCAGACACTCCTTAGAAGGAAGGTTGGGCAATCTACTTCTGTAGTGATACTGCCTCGAAACCCAAAGAGGGGTCACTATGAGTCAGGTCCAACTCGACAGCACATAACAACAACAACAACCCTCTAGTTAGTGATTTAACCTCTCTTCCCTCCCACTCTTACTAACCTTTAAAGACTGTTTCTTTCTGAGTATAAAGTTTTCTTGACTTTTTAAAGTGTTGTTATGTGTCATTGAGTCAGACCCAACTCATAGCAACCCCTCCTTGAGTTTCCAAGGCGGTATCACTAAGGAAGTAGATTGCCCAATCTTCCTTCTGAGGAGTGGCTGGTGGGTTTGAACCACCAGCCTTCTGGTTAGCAGTCAAGTGCCTTAGGCACTATGCTACCAAAGCTCCCTTTTAAAGTAGTGATCTCATATAAATAATATTTGATATTTTGTGACTGACTGATTTCACTCAACATAATGTCTTCTAGATTCATCCATGTTATGAGGTGTTTTGAGAGTCATCATTTTTCTTTAACATTGCATAGTACTGATTGTGTGTATGTATCATAGTTTATCCATTCATCTGTTGATGGGCACGTAGGTTATTTCCATATTTTTTGCTATTGTGAATAAAGCTGCAATAAACATGGTGTGCATATATCTGTTCATGTCATGGCTCTGTTTCTGTAGGATTTTTACTTAGTAGTGGGACTGCAAGATCATTTGGTATTTCTATTTCCAATTTTTGAAGGAAGCTTTTTTTTTTTTTTTCCAGTGGTTGCACCATTTTACAGTCCCACCAGCACTGTGTGGGAGTTCTAATCTCTCCACACTCTTGTCACATTCTTTTTTTTCTATTTTTTTTTAACTTTGCTATTAATACTGGAGTGAGATGATATCTCAATGTTGTTTTGGTTTGCATTTCTCTAATAGTTAATGATCACTAGCATTTCTTCATGTGTTTTTTGGTTGCCTGAATATCTTGTTTGGTGAGATGTCTATTCATGTCCTCTGCCCTTTTGTTAACTGGATTTTTGTTGATGATATACTGAATTTTCTATAAATTTTAGAGATTAGATCCTTGTTTAATATGGCATTGCCAAAATATTTTTCCCAGTCTCTAGGTGCTATTTTTACTCTTTTGGTGAAATATTTTGATATGCGTAAATGTTTAATTTTTAGGCGGTCCCAGTCATCTAATTTGTCTTCTGCTGTCTTGTATGTTTAGATATGTTTGATAGTGTATTTATACCATGTATTACAGTCCCTAAGTTTGCCCCTATTTTTTCTTTGCTGATCTTTATAGTTTCAAGTTTTACATTTACATCCTTGATCCATCTTAAGTTAGTTTTTATATAGGGTGAGAGAGATGATTTCTCATATGAATCCTCAACAAATCTTTTATTTTTCTGCAGATGGATATCCAGTTTTGCTCCACAACATATTTTAAGATGTATTCAAGTGGACCCACAGCTCAAATTCATTCCCACAAACTGCTTAATTATATGAATGTTATCTAAATTCTCCTACTAATGAATATTTAGATTGTTTCTAATTTTTCATTATTTACAAACAATACAAACTTGAAAATGTCACCATGTGCATATATGTAAGCATTTCTCTTATCAAGATATATAGAAGAATAAGGCAACAGGACATAGGCAATTTTACATTAATGAGTTACTTTTAATTGTCCTCTAACAGAGCTATACCAATTTATATTCTCATCAGCATTACATAAATGTACTGTACTGACTTCCTTACAATTTCATCAACAGTTAAATCTGATGAATCTGATATTGTTTTTGCTGACATCTAATGAAATTAAGTATCGTCTCATTTTCATTACTGGTCTTTTTCATTCCTTTATATGATGTTTACAACTTTCCTACTGGGCAGTTTTATTTTTTTCTCATAGATCATAGGAATTGTTACAAAATCCTATGGTTGGACTGGTATATCTGCTATCTCATTTTTTGTTTATCATTTAAGTTCCAAATGAGCAGTTTTTGTTATGTGAACGTTTAAATTTTCATGAAGTTAAATCTCTTATACCTTAGTAAAGTCTTCCTTCTTTAAGAGCACAGGATATCATTCCCTATTTTAACAATTTTAATATTGTGGTTCTTTATACTGAGGACAAAATTTATCCATCTAGAAAGTATTTGACTAAGATAAATTGTAGGGATCTTCCCCTTTTTGGAGATTTAATGGATCTAATACCATTTCCTAAGTAATTTAGTCATTCTCCACAGATTTATAATGCTTCCCTTATCATACCTCATGGGATGTCCAATTTTATAAACCTTTTTTATGTATTTGAAAATAATATGCAATCTGGAAAATTATAATTATGAATTTTAAATTCTGAGTATCTATTTAAATAGCCCTTCCTCACATAGTTTAATGGATAGTCAATAAACACTGCTGTTTATCACTGATTTTGCCATGTGCTTATGATTCTTTTGCCTACAGCACAGAAATCACAATTTGCATTTACAATGAATTGACCATTGTTTTTTATATTATTGTTTTGTTTTCTCACCTTTGATACTTAGTTGCACTTATTTGCTTACATGACTGTCTTCATCTGCAGACTATAAACTTTCTAAAGGCATGGTCCAAGTCTCCATATTTTCTGTAACCCTAGTGCCTAGTAGGGAGCTCTGGTGGTGTAGTGCCTAAGGCATTTGACTGCTAACCAGAAGGCTGGAGTTTCAAATCCACTAGCCACTCCTCCGAAGGAAGACTGGGCAATCTACTTCTGTAGAGATACTGCCTCAGAAACCCAAGGTGGGGGCCCTAAGAGTCAGGATTGACTTGACGGCAGTGAGTTCGGTTTTTTGTGGAGTGCCTAGCACATTGCTTGGCACATAGTAGATGCTTAACAAGCATTTATTAAATTGGAACACTTGTACAGTACTTTTCAACACTTTTGTTGTTGTTAGTAGGGATCATGAGAGAGAGAAGGTAAGTCACAAGGTCACCCATTCTACTTCTCCTTCAAGCTCCACCCTCATTCTCAGAATAGTTAAAACACAAAAGCCATCTTGCTTTATAACATCACTATTATCTCTCTGTCATTTACAAAAGGTTACTCAAAAGCCAAACACGTTTCAATACAGCTCTAAACTTTTAGGGAAAAGAACACATTATGAAATGAGAAAGGGGAATACATGAAGCCATCAGTGTTCTGTGATGGTTTTACCTCTCTTCACTCATTCAACAAATATTCGGTCAGTTCCCATTATTTAAGGAGCCCTGCTACCACAGTGGCTAAAGTGCCTCAACTGCTAACCAAAAGTTCAGCAGTTTGAACCTATCAACCACTCCATGGGAAAAAGATTTGGCAATCTGCTTCCGTAAAGATGTACAGCTCTGAAAATCCTGTAGCGCAGTTCTACTCTGACCGATAGGGCCACTGTGAGTCAGAATCAATTCAATGGCAGTGGGCTTGGTTTGGGTTTTTCCCATTGTGTACATAAAAGAGTCTTAAGAACTGTGGGAAATACAACTGCTTTTCTTGATTTTGCCTTGAGGAAAAAAAGAGAGAGAGAGAAAGACCCCCTCCCCCACAAAAAAGCCAAGCATCCCTAGATTGACAGCACACTCAGATTTGACTGGACATGAGAAATGATTCTTTGGGTTCTTGTTTAAACCAGAAACAAAGAACCATTTAATGACAGTAGGGACTTTCTCACTGCCCACAGGCCAAAGCAAACTCCTCTTCTGCCAAGGCCAAGTCATACTGTACCTTCGATCCTTTCACAGAGCTTATGTAAAGAGTGCATAGGGCAGGCCTCACACAGCTTAATCTGGGTCTTGGCACTCTGCAGGGCAGCAGCTGTGCTGAAAGCCTGTTTCAGAGTCAGCATTACCTCATCAACCTACAAGAAGAAACAAAACCCAGGTCTGTAAAAGGTTGCTTTCATGGTGATGCATTAAAAACCCAACAGCAACGTGAGCCTTTGCTGACACTGACTAAATAATTAATAGAATTTTGATGACTAGAAAGTTGGCAGAAAGAAAAGCTTAAATCTTGACATTAGGCCTTCTATACATAGAGTGGAAAGCTGGATGATATAAGACCATTTTAATGTGTGTTGTAGAATAATAGTCTATTTCAATGTGGTAGAGTATTATCCACCATAGAGAATCTAATTAGTTGATCAGGTCTTTGTTTAATTAAGTGATTTATCAGATAGAGATGAGTCTGGAAGTTTTGTCTGAAATATATAGGGAGCAACAAAACTGGTTCAACATTCACATGCATCAACAGGTAGCCTATTCAGTTTATTCATCCTTTTAGTGTAAAGACAAACGAAATGTGATTAAATTAAGATGTAGAGGAAAATAAGTTCAATATAAATAACAGATGGAAAGTATATGAAGGTTGATGATCTTATCTACTAAGTGGTTTCTAAGGTGTTATCATTCCACTTATGACTGTGGCACTAAGAGGTGCTAATATGGTGTTGTCTAATAGCTGGGTCCTATCTAGTGATAGATAGGACCCAGCTATTAGACAACACCAGAAACCCAAGGAGGGGTCGCTATGAGTCGGTTACCACTCGAAATAGCTGGGTCCTATCTACCACTAGGCCATCAGCTTGAAAACTACCAGCTATTTCCTTTCTTCCTCTTTTATGACTCAGTCAAGACGTTTGAATTTAACTTCTGGTTTTCCTGGTTGCTCCTTTAAAGCCAACTAACAGTTCACACATTGTCAAATCTACTTCAGGTTGTGCCCCTGTGCCCCTCCCTATCTTCTCTGTCATAAAGTCACCAATGACAAGGTGTGGTTTTATCACACTCTGTAGGACTTAGATCAAATTCTGAACATTGTATAGTGGAACTATGAAATACTAACAAGCTCATCTGAACCAGCTTTGATACTCAAAAACATTCATCACACTTGGTGAACAAACATTTCAGACACTTTTTCTACTTTACTTATGGCTTGAATTAAGAATAAATTGTTATTTAAAATGTATAATCTACTTCTGCATTTGAGTGTATGGGGAACATAGAATAAAAAGAAATTTTACTCTTCCGATATTGATGAAAGAAGTTATCAAACACTAAGTAGTCAGCCATTATTCAGTTAATTTTTATTATATTACCAACCTCAAAAAGAGGTTGATAAATAATTTTGTGTCATCCCATGAATAAAAATAAATTATTCATAAAATCTGTTACTTCATGGTAAATGAGATAAACACTTCTAATTATTAAAAATAAAAGCATTACATATTTAATGCCTTCACATTTTGATCTTAGTTGCCTTGTAATGTAGCCAACAGTGACTTTAATTACTTATGCAGATGACATTTATTTCTATTTTTGTGTTTCTCACATTTTAAGGCACTTAAAGGGTTACTCATTTTTTTTTTAGTAGTATCAATAGTTTTCTGATAGGTTTATTTGTTACTTAATAATACTGCTTTGTAGACAGCCTCCAGAGGAAACAAGGAACTCTCAAATTTTTCTTCTCTATATTTAAGTGAAACAAGGGGCTATTTCAATGGTATTCAACTTCTCCAAGGCACAACTAAAACCTTTTTTGATTTTTAAATTGCTAAGTGTTTTCTTTAAAAAAAAAAAATTCATTCCTCTTTTTAGATGGCCTATAAATTCTATCAGGAGCTCTGGTAGCATAGTGGCTAAAGCACTTGACTGCTAACCAGAAGGCTGACGGTTCAAACCCACCAGCCACTCCTCGGAAGGAAGGTTGGGCAATCCTACTTCCTTAGTGATACTGCCTCGGAAACTCAAGGAGGGGTCACTATGAGTCGACTCGAGGGCACATAACAACAACAACAACAACATAAATTCTATCACAGGATAAGGACAAGACAAAGTTCAAGATAATACACTCTGAATACCTTAATTATTTTAGCCTAGATAAAAAATACACACACACACACATATACATATATATAGAGAGAGGCTCTGGTGGCGTAGTGCCTAAGGCATTTGACTGCTAATCAGAAGGCAGTGGTTCAAACCCACCAGCCACTCCTCGGAAGGAAGATTGGACAATCTACTTCCGTAGTGATACCTCCTCGGAAACCCAAGAAGGGGTTGCTATGAGTCAGATCCAGCTCATTGGTAGTAAGTTTGGTTTTGATTTTGGTTATGTAGAGGTAGATAGATAGATCTACCTATCTATCTATCTATATCACAGGTCATGTTCAAAGTTTCAAAGCAAAAGAATGAGTAAAGATAAAGCAGTCATATGCAAACAAAAAGAAGTATTCTTGACATTATCATCAGACATCCCTACAAAAAAGAATCAATTAAAACAAAAGCCAGTTTACGACAGTAAGAGAAAAACTACAATGAAAATAATTCTCATAAACATCAATGCAGCAAATGTAGGTATTTTTATACCATCTTAGGAGAAGTCTAAGAATGGCAGAATGTGTACAAACTTCAAAAGAGTATGTACTTAATCTCTGGGAAATTTTAACCCTTTAAACCATCCAGGAAAGAATGTCATTAGTCCTATAACTGTTAATAACTACAGAGGTATATTTCAGTGGCTAATCACCCACACATTGAAGTGCCCTCTCTGTTTGTTGGACCTTACAACATTTACAACCTTTTATGATGTAAATTCCTCTGCAGTTATGTCCCATACTTTCTGTTCCTAGGTTAACTGATTTCAATTACTTCAATTTTCTCTAAATGAGAAAATTTTCATAGATTACTGCTCTCTCTAAAACGTCTATAACTTTCTTCATCCCTTAAAACGTGGATCCCAAACCTGAATCTGTCTCATTCACTCACCTATCCTCCTTACATTGCTTGATCATTAATGGTTAGAGATCTAGTTTTAGAGTATAACCAACATAATATACAAGGAAAAGATACCTTCCTAGATTTTGTACCTAGTTTTTCTGTCAATACACTCTAGATCCATGCTTTTATCATTAACTATTAGCTCCATGTTATTCATGTAAATTCTGGATCTTTGGTGTTATTTCTGTAAGCTACCACTGAGTCAGGCCCTGACTCATCACCATGAGTGATGAACATGCATCACCATGAGTGATGTTCCCATGCAGTGGAACAAAATGCTGTCCGGTCCTATACCATCCCTATGATCACTTGTAGAATGGACCCCTGGGTTTTCACTTCCTGATTTACAGAAGCAGATTGCCAGGCCTTTCTTGTGAGTATATCTTAGTCTAGAAGTTCCACCAAAACCTGTTTAGCATTATGACAACATGCAAGCCTCCTCTGATACTGATGGTGGCTGGGGCTAACATGGATCAGCTGGAAACTGAATCAGGGTCTCCCACAGGGAAGGTGAGAATTCTACAACTGAACTAGTATCCTGGGTTGTTTCCGTCCCTTGAATTTTTGCCTACTTTTTCTCTGTATCTGTGGATTATATTTTTTTATGTGTCTAAGTAGTAATAAGGAGCCCTGGTGATACAGTAGTTGAATGCTTTGCTGCTAACCAAAAGAAAGGTCGGCAGTTCAAACCCACCAACCACCTCACAGAAGAAAGACTTGACAGTCTGCTTCAATAAAGATTACAGTCTTGGAAACCCTCTGGGGCAGTTCTACCCTGTCCTATAGGATCACTATGAGTCAGAATCAACTCAACAGTCGTCAGTTTGGCTTGGGTTTAAGTGGTAATAAATTGAGCTTTTTTTTTACACCTTTCAAATCAATTGTAGATACAGCATTTTTAAAGAAAGAGTTGCTACAGATCTCCAGGGTTGGTTAAATAAGATTAAGCATCTGCCTACAACTATTAAAAACTATATATATATATATAAATATATATATATATATATATATATATATATATATATATATACATACACTTAAAAGAAGAGATCTGCTAGCATAATGCCTAAAGCATTTGACTACTAACCAGAAGGCTGGCAGTTCAAACCCACTAGCCACTCCTCAGAAGGAAGGTTGGGCAATCCACTTCCGTAGTGATACTGCCTAGGAAACCCAAGGAAGGGTCGCTATGAGTCGGATCCAACTCGACGGCAGTGCGTGCATGTACTTAAAGGTACCTTCTATGTAATTCTCCAGGGCCTATCCAAAATACTATACTGTTTATAAATTCATAGCAATTTTATTTAATGATATGCTGTAAAGAAGCAATAGAAAATAGTAATCATATATTCTTTGTGCAGAGAAAATAAGCTCACATGTGTGGCTTTGAAGTACACTGTCTTACACAACTGCCAAGGCCACATCAATAATATTGCTTAGACCTATAATATGCAATTGACTATTTGGTTTTGTTCTGTATGTCAGCTGCCTAAGCTATTCTCTACTATGTGGGAAACTGACATTTAATATTTCTTCTAGCTTCCAAATGCCAAATCTCACTATTCAGTAAAAAGGCTTTCTGATGAAATTAGAGGAAACAAAGTTTCAGCCATAATAGCATGGGCCTGTCCTTAAGAACAATGCCAAAACTGAGATTCTAATACAGCTTCAGTGTTACAGGAAGACATTCCCAGCCAGCCTAGTTTGTTGCCTTAGTCACAGAGCTCCTTGGGGCGGGGG